AGTATTAATCGCCAGAGAACATCGTCACACTTCTAGTGTTTACAAAGGTTTCGCGGAGTAACATATCCCAAACATTGCAAGTTGTCCCGAATGATGTAATATCCCAGCATTCTGATTGGTTTACAACTTACTCAATGGACTCAACATACCTTACTCGCCAGCCGGTGTAGTCGGGCGCACACATGGTTTGGGATGTTACTCCGCGAAATATAGTTTCGTAATTGGAAGGCCTACTACCAGTCAGTTCGATGTTGTTTTGTTGTTACGTTTTTGGTTGTTGTTGTCAAAACAAGAAACATTCCTTGTAAAATTATATATTTTTTATATATCTTATGAATTAAATTAACCAATTAATTCAATTGTTGCACTTTATTAATTCCACGTTTAAAATCTAATCTTTAAATATTCATTTATATACAATTCAATTTTTATATTATTTCAAAACACGATTAAACAATCATTTTGCTTACTTTCTGCTGATACTTTGTTAAGAACAAAATAAATTGTTTGATAGAGGCCCATTACAGTACTAGTTGCCTATGAAATAACTCTGCTTACCGTCTACTACATTCAGTGAGAAACGTTCCCAATTCCAGGCTCCTCCTGGTAGACACAGACACCGAGGTTGCCAGACACAAAGTCATTTGACTCTTTGTACGCCGCCGATACGAACAAAAGTAGGTCAGAAGCACACTGGCTTGTTCAGTTAATAAATGGTAGTAAAGGAGTTGCTTTCTATATTATTTCATTTAATTAGGTTTCAAAATTTGCTGAGAGACCTAGATGTTACTCATTGAGATACATGTTGTTAAACTATAGCTGCTCCGTGAAGTCTGGCTGAGGTTATCATCAAAGAGTATTTTATACCCATTGTTATCATCAGCCATGTGATTGAAGAAGCATAATCTTATTTCATAATGTATGAGGTTTAGGTAATTCGTTTGGTTTTCAATAAAAGATGTCTGCCTTAATACCGGTAGTACTTTGAATATAATCATCCAGATGATGCCTAATTGTATTTATTTACGATCTATTTAGAGTTAAATTTTGATTATTGCTTGATCTGGGCCGTTTACATCGTATTGAGTCAATACTGTCATGCTGATTGGTTGATACAGTACATGTAAAATGAATGATAACATGTTTTGCGTACTGCCTGACTGAAAATAATGGGCTGTACAAGTTGTAAATAATTGGGATTTGGAGGGAAACCACCTTCCTGCCACTTACAAAATCTACTCGCGCTATCAAATGACCTTGTTGCACTGAACGCGACAAAGTTGAATTCTTTGTCGCACCTTAAAAAATCAGGTCGCAAATGCGACCAAATAACCCTTAATTTCAAGCCCCGGATGTCATCGTCCATACGAGGCGTACGTAAAACTGAAGATTCGTATAACTGAGGCACGTAAAAACAAGGTTCTACTGTGTGTATCATTGGAGTTTGAAAACTTACTCTTTTTAAAAAGCAATTCAATGATATAAAATTTATTAGGACTTTCTCATGTTTTGTCACGAACAGAGCTATAACTGGTACTGGTATAGGCATTTTTAATGCGCCTCTTTCTTGAGGTTATAAAGTGCACATTTTTTTCCTGGTCATTTGGTCCACATGCTTTAAGTGTTGCTACTGGTAATCAGTGCAGGAGCAGGCAACCCCACCAATTACCCATTTTATACTCCTGGGTGGAGAAATGCAATGCAGATAAAGTGCCTTCTCAAGGACACAAGCGAAACGCACTGTGAGGGATTGAAACCCCAACCTTGAGGTTTGGAAACCAAACCGTTTCCGCTGCGCCAAACCACTTCCAACACTTCTTTAACAAAGAAAAACTGACAAAATCTAAATATCTACCTACTTAAGAAACTTACACACCTGCCCACACAAATTGATCCATCAATCCATTCTTCCTTTCACCTATCCACCCTTACTTCCAATTATCCATTCATTTATTCATTCATCTATCCATCCTATAATACCATCCACCAACCCATTCACCCATATCTATCCTTTTCTCCATCCATCTATCTATCTGTGTCGTTCGTCCATCCATTAATCAAGTTCATTTACCTTCACTGTCAATAGGTTTAACAACTACTGGATCAATGGTAGGGGTCTGGACAACGACACCAGATTTCTCATTGTCAATACTTGTTTTTGTGGTCACATGACTGCAATGATACTTCGATGATGGTGGAGGCATGACTATACCCTTAATACCTATAAAGACAAACAATAATTCATACAGCATTCAGAATTTAATAAGTTAATATAGGTTAATCTAGAACCAACACACCGTAACTTTTATCTAATTGAAAGCAGATGCTGCAGCTTTTGTGATTCTGTTGCACAACCCAAGAGTATATTTGAGTACCTGGTGGGAATGTGAACGTACTTTGTTGAATGTACTTTGTCTGTGCTGAACAGGCAAGACAGGAAATCCTCCTCACGGAACGGAGTACATATTTGCGTATTGTGTGTGAATATCATTACTTCTAATCACCACAGCTATAATATGAAGTGAAGTGCTTAAGAGACGTATGATGTTGAAAGTGCTACATGAAGTTTGAAGTTAAACCAGCTTATTCTCATAGTTTTATTGGTAGACAATTTGTATCAGAAAGCTTGGATTTGCCTCTCAATACAAATAGAGTTTTCTCCCCAATTCGAGACCACATTTGAGACCTGAAAATTTGGGGTGTTCTTGGGGTTGGTCTCCAATTAGAGTGTTAGCTTAAAAGATTGAAGATTAATTGAAAAAGTGGTCGCAAATTAGAGGGGTCGTGGAAATAGAGGGGTCTCGGATTGGAGGGAGTGCTGTAGTTCATTATTCTTCTAAAAATTCTGCTGTATGTCCTTAAGCAGACAAATACAGAAAGGCAGTCAGAAGATCCAGTGTCCCTTAAAAGTAAAAGTTACAATCTACAGCCACCCACCACCAATAAGTCCAAATCCACAAATAGCTAGAGCATCACCGGAAGTGAAATACAACCCTGAGTACCCTCATCACTGCAGAGATGCGCTTTTAGAAAATGTTGTTGAATTACGTGCACACATTTATTAAGCACTTCCTGTGAACTCCTTGACCATGAAGCGTCAAGTTTTTCAAATAATGTACTTTATTAAGAAGAGCAATTTGCCAGTTGGGAAGACTGTTTAATTACTAATCAATTAACAAGAGTACTTAGAAGAAGGATCTGAGGGATAATGTATCATACCACACATGTATCCTACAGGTTTTATGAATCTGTGTTAATTGAAACCTTCTTCCTAACTTTTTATTTAAAATTAATTCAAGGTCCATTTTGTTGATTCTTACCAAAGCACAAAATCTAAGGGATTTCAGTTTTTGGTAAAAAACAAACACTTTTTGATTTAAGTCTTGCAGTTATCAAAGGATATTTAAGAAAAAGTACAGAATAGTTATAAACTATATATCAAATTAAATTATAAAATGTGCCAATAATTTAAAGTTAAAGCCCATGTTTTTTTTCATGACATTGAATCTGAATATATACTGACAGAGGACCCTAGTATAGTGTCAGTGTGTGTCATCGATTTTGCGAATATTATAGGTGTTATTAATTATAAAAGATTTATTTATCAAAAGTATATATCTGACTGGTATATGATTTTGAAATTGCCAAAAAGGTATAAAATATGGATTGGTTCTTCAAGAGGGGGCTCCAACAACCGATGTCGAGGCAGCGTCGCTTTTACTAGTGCATATACGCAGACACTTCAGAAATAATAGTGACTGGAGATACAAATATCAAGAAAAACAGATGGTTGTTGACATATATTGAATAACTCGTACGGCTGAAACAATGTTTTGAAAAGATTCAATACCAAAATGTATCTTTCCAGAGTGTGTCAATCAAATTTTACAACTGACCAATCAGAAAATAGTTGGAAATACATGCTTGTCCCACAGACACATGTTCCACGAACGTACATGCATTTATACACAGTACTGTATGTTAACACTCTCATCTTGTAAGATGTTAGCAATAATAACCGAGGTACACGGCTTAGTGGAACTGTCCATTACGTTTATAGCATACTCACCAACTGGTTGAATAATCTCTTCTAATGACAGGTTCGTGTAATCTTGTTGTAGTTTGTGTTGGAATGGACAGTGTGGCTTCTTACATCCCCCAGGCTTGTCCTCCCAGAAACAAGCGATGGTTGATCGATCCTTCTGGTATTGGCCGAAAAATAGATTTGAAATTAATATTTTTTAATGCATCTTAAATATAATGATCTTAAAATACTTTTTAAAAAAGATAATAGTTTTGGGCTGACCCAATAAGGGGGAAGTGTGTGCAATCACAGCCCCTAAACTACAAAAAATTGATTAGGCTCCGTCCAGACTATCAATTTTTTACATGTGACATGCCTAAATATGGTCATGACATCATCACATTATGACTATATATGAGCATACAACAGTTTTTTTGTTAGTCTGGACCTGAGCTTTATTCTTTATACATCTGCCTTTTTGATTGTATTATCAAAGAAACCCACAAATTTATTGAGATATATTATATCTAGGCCATAATAAAGTTTTCCAATGCATCCTTGTAGTCTACTAACGCTACTTTCTCATATATTGTTATAATCTTAGGCCAACGATGGCATTGTTGATGTGAATATACTGCAATGCATGTTTTATTTTTGCTTAGTGATTCGGTAATGAAACATTATTAGTCATCATTATCATTAGAAAAATATGATTGCAAAAGTCTGATTGGATAACTGGAAGTATATATAAACCATGTCTTACCCTGAAAATGGTAAAACATAGACACTAAATTAATTGATAATGACGAAGTTTAAAGAGTTATCTTTATCCATATTGGTTTCTAACAGCAACATTCAGGTACACTGAAATTTCAAGCAATTCCTCCTATACTGTTTTACAAATCATTTTCCTAGACTGTAAGTGCTTGAAAAATGCATGTGTGAGATTAGAAACAGCTGTAGGCCTATTTTATTCATTTTTAACACTGAATTCAAGGAAATATGAAATTTATGGTATTAAAAAAGTTAACTTATTTGTTAAAATCGATATTCAACAATAATTACAGTATGTTGACATGCATATATTCAGCAGGAAATGTTCATAATTCTAAGCCAATTATATCCAAATCAATACAGAATCCAGTTTTCAAATTAATTTTCTACACTGCATGGTACCGGTAAGTCATTTGTTGTTTTTGAAATATTTTTCCCACAATCAAATTTTAAATGAAAATAATTTGGTGATGGAACAGAGATTCTTTGTTTTGATATATTTTGTTCATGATGGATTTTAAATATTACATTCCTCATTAGAACATCATTTGTAATTCCTGCTCATTTTTTAAAGTCTGAGAGTGCTACTTAGCTACTTATGAGCACCTTATTCTGAGAAAAATTGACTAGGTTGATTTTGACCCCTTTATATTCATTTATATAGTTTAATAATATTTCACACAAGTTCAGTATTGCTACTTTAAGAGATTAAATAATTTTACATGAGAATACAGGTCTTCTTCTAATTAAAGACTCCCTCCAATTAAATATCACTGTGGTCACAAATTAACAAATATCTTTTATCTTTATTATTTTAATTAGAGACCAAAGCTGCTACAGCCATGGAAATCCCAGTAATTAAAAGTGGTCTTTATTTGGAGGGAGACCTGTACAATATAGAAATATACATACACTCTTTTGAATTTTAGTCTTAGTCACACTAATAACCTAAAATCATTAGTTAATTTTTTATTATAATGTCTACATACCTGTAGTTTATTAACAATTATGATTAAGAATCAACAAAGAAAATTGAAAATCAGATAAATAAATGGAGTTGGACACATTGATATCATTAGTCTTCATGGGCATAAAACACAAAGTTAAAAATGATTAAATAGCATACATTGACTTCCATATGCCGGTATGCACATGCCGTCCTATAGCAACGTCCTTCTCTCCATAGGGAACAGACCGCTTCTTTGCCAAGGGCCATCTCGCAGTGCCGGAAAGGACAGGAAGAACCCTGAAACATTTGAGAAAAGGTTTTAATGCATAGAATGCAAAAAAACAATAACAATTTAGATTTATGCCAATTTTAATAAGAACTGAAGGTTTCTTTGTTTTGTCTTGATAGAATAAACCATTCCTCAAAACATCTACTTCAATAAGTGCCCCCTCAATTTCCACTCTGTTTTCATAAGTGCTCTGTTTAAATAAGCGCCCTGTTTGAATAGGAAATCGGAATAAAGCCACCCCTGTCCAAAACCACCCCTGTACAAAGCCACCCAACAATGGATTATACCATTGTAAGGTAGGGGTGGTCGACAATGGGGTGTTTGTCTTGATGCTGGTCTACAATAGGTTTCTGCTGCAGTGCTAGGAGTGTCTTTGTATCAGCTTTTGTGTATTATGAATTAGAAACTGGGTGTAGTCTACATATAGGCATAAACATCATCAGCTTCTAATGATGCAATTGAGTGGGGTTTTTTTTTAAATTTTCATATGATAATATTGATTTATGTTTTTATACATACTTTCATTAATATTGATATACTATATTAATAGACAGTATTTTATCAGGTAAAAAACAAGGTATACTTTACTTTTGTTATACTTGTATACTGTAATGCAAGACTATATTTTCTTTTTCTCACTTTTTTGATTATTTATTATTCTTAATTGTATCAGAAATAACAGCAATCAAAGTAAGGTGTTTACTATGTTAATGATTATAGTGGAACATAAATGCCTCTCAATCATAAATTTATCATTGTGGAAATTCAATTTGTCTGGCCATACATATAACATAAAGGCATTGTCATCGAAATGTCCTACTTATTCATTTTTTTTTTAGTTCAATAATTAATAGTAATTTCTCAAAAATTTTATTATAATAAAAAAATAATATTAATACTACTGAAAAAAGAAAAAGAATAAAAGTTAAAAAAAAAAAACATTTCCACTTAATTGCATAATTAAGATAAGCTATGATGTTTATGCCTGTGTAAGGGAAATTAATATTACGGTACACTGTAAAAGCAATAAAATGTTGACTGTAAAAAAAAAAAAAGAAAATACATTTCCTTCCAGAAACCACTCAATTGCATCATTAGGAGAAGCTGATGATGTTTATGCTTATGTAGACTACACTCAGTTTCTAATTCATAATACACAAAAGCTGATACAAAGACACTCCTAGCACTGCAGCAGAAACCTATTGTAGACCAGCATCAAGACAAACACCCCATTGTCCATCCCTACCTTACAATGGTATAATCCATTGTTGGGTGGCTTTGGACATTCGTTTGAATATAAGCGCCCCTCAGAAAGTGCAAAAAATATTATAAGCACCCAGGCGCTTATTCGCGCGAGTACAGTATGTGTTTCATATGCATTTGATCCAATGACCGGATGTAGTGTAATAATGTGAAGCGCTAGAGGCCTTGTTTGCATGAAACCTATGTAAGTCGAACATAATATTATTATTCCAACTAACACATAAAGAGACAGCACTTAACTTCAATTGATAAAATGAATAAATTTCCAAGTTACCTTAGTACATGTTGAGTAATAGAAGTAATAGCAATCGTTGGTGGAGGGATCCATCCTTGAGTTCCAAGTGTCAATCTGAAGATAAACAAAATTATTATTTTTTTTCTAAAATCCTAAATTCTACCATATTTTAATTGACGATCTTGAAAAAAAAAAACAATTTACAGTACAGTAGTTTGGCCACTTGGATAGTATACTGTACATATCCACACGGTGAACATTTTATCAGCTTTTTTTATTTTGTTTTGGGTTGAGTTACAGTAGGTACTACAGTATACAAACAACATTTGGACACCAAATTTTATTGTATCATATTATTATATTTATTTTATAAAGATAAATTTCATGGTCAGAGCATAAATATTATAGTTTCCCCCCAGTTCTGTGGAAGCCCGAGATTAAGCTTTGCCTACACCAGTAAAAACATTTTTTTTGGGCCATACTTTAACATTTTTTGTTTTTTTGATATCTTGTGATTATAACAACTGGCATCAAAATCCCATTCCTATTGATTTCTATTTCGCATTGAATGACATAATAATTTGGTTTTTCTCTTAACAATAAATCAGTTACAAATTTCAATTCCATATAGCATGAAAGTCGATTGAATTTTATTTTTGTCTTTAATTTTCGATCAAATCAATCCAAATTTAAATGAAAAGTTAAAATTGTGTAGAAATAGGAATCAGACTTTTAATTCCGGGTGGAGTTTGTCCAGCCAACTTGGAGTCTCTGCCCATTTCTGTTTTCACATGCGATACATTGTAAAATATCAGGGTGATCACAAGTTAGAAGGTCAATGTATTAAAAAAAATACTGTAGAATAAAAAACAATTAATTAAAAGACTTTGAAGACTTAAAACACCATCAATGTCTCTAGGCTGAATGTCAAGTGAATGGTGTGCATGTGAAAATGCATGCAGCCAACCACAGAGATAATTTTTGTAAATGAATTTTTAGAATTATTGTGAATAAAAAGTATACAGTAGCTGCGTTTTATCACTGACTTTGACAGACTTATACTGTACGCTATTTCCCACAGTTTCTTATCATTGATCTTTTGTTCTTTTATTACTGTTTATTAAGATTGCTTATTTTGGCAGACTAGTAGTATGCTTTGTACTCCATTCTTTGTTGTTGTAGGACTGACCCCATTATTTCCTGATAAGTCCACAGTGTGGACTTATATTGTGTTCTAGAATTATTGTGAAAATTGTGGGACAATTCATATGATTTTAGGGCTGACTCCATAGTACGGTATTACCCTTCTTCAGTAGGAAGCTGTGATGCCATTTAATAGCGATTTCATATTCATCAAAGTAGAGACAGGTCATTTTGTAATGTTTGTAACCTTGTTACAATTTAATTATACTGTAATCATAAAGGCACATAAAAAAAAAATGTTTTTATAATTAGTATATTTAATCATTGAATAAAAAATATATCAAAAAGCTTTTTGCATCAAAACACAGTACTCTATTGTAGATTGTAAAACAAATACAAATTCTATTAGCCATGCTACTTTAAGCCCGGCCTGGGGGAGGGGCGTGGAGGGGCGTAAGTGGGCATGGACAGGAATCTCGCATATCCCGGAAACATAGACAATTTGGGGGTTTCAAATGCTTATTTAAACGATTTTAGAGTCTACTACAAAAATGGGCAATTCCATGATTAGTTTTGTTACATTTTTCAAAACTTTACTGTTTAATACCTGAGCACCTGCTTGAAAATGAATATGAAATAACTGCCTACTGTACATTTAAAAACATCTGCTAATTATTTGCTTTAAAACCATTTGAATTCATTTATTCATTTCAAGAAGGTGAGGCTTTTACTGTACTCTCTGATACAATGCATTTTATACCTCACTGATCTTTAAAAGGTCACTGAAATCCCTGATAGTCAAAATATTGAAATTAAAGTCGTTCAAAATAACATCTGCCAAGTCCCACACATACATAATTATCATGCATGACCTGGTAATTTTTCCCCCACTTTTAAAGATGTACAAAAATTGACCTTTAACAAGAGAAAACATGATTTGCATTTTTTTCATTCTCAAGTTCTACGACACACTCCTCGCAGATGCTGTACTGCAGAATTCTGTAATTTACTGAAAATATCAATGAAAACGTATGGTCCATGAAAATCAATCAACAAAGAACTTCGGTTGATAGTTCCCTGGGGCAGCCACCTACCATGGTCTTTAGGCCTACAGTACTCTAGGGAATACGAACCCCCTCACTGTCTTTTGCTTCTGAATAGTGTACCAAGCTCTTTTTCTTGTATGCTTTTACAAACATATCCATGGCTTAACATCCCGTCAGAAGGACGATATGTGATATGAACATATTTATGCGACATCGATTCATCATACCCATACAGTATATGGGCACATCACACAAATAATAGTATGGACAATGCAATGGAGGAAAGTACTGTATTCTAAGTATGTTTACATACAATGCAGACAAATGAAACCATAGTGGTTTGTACAGTACTGCAGTTCTTCGAGTAAAAGCCAAACCCCCCCTTGAAAACAAAATTGGGTAAAAAATTTGGTTGGTGAGTGGACCAGTGGTGGCGCCAGAAATTTGCCAACAAAGGGTCCAACCTATCCGACGGAGGGGTCCAAACCAATTGGCCAACTAAGCCTACAGTAGGTCGATGACCTGGAATAACAACTCCCTTGTAGGGTTCACAGTGGGAGTTTTAATGGCTTAATATAGTCGAAAATGTGCTTTTAGACCAGAATATTAGGGAATGGCAATCAAAATAATGTTATTATTATTTTAATTAGGAAAAATGTTATTTTGTTTTTGACGACAGGGGGTCCAAGCCTGTGCTGGCGCCACCACCGGGTTGAGCTCCTACCGAGGAAATCCAAAGTACATGAAAAATACAGGGATGACCAATTAACAGGCAAATTTCCAATGCTGCATGTCAAATTCAAAAGTTTTTTTTTTAAATCTGAACTCGTTCAAAAATACACTGGGCTTTGCCGGAAAAAAACGTTGGTACAGTAAGTACTATAAATAGGGCAAAGTAAAGGTGGTTAATTTAGCATACTGCATACGGTACCTACAGTATGGTGGACTTATACCCAAAGAACTACTGTATTATACTGTAATACTTTAGTACAAAAAAGATAAAAAGATAGTGTTACCTTGATCAAAATGATGTGAGCTGCCTTCAACTTCTTAGACAATTAGTACTGCAAAATCAGAAATTACTTCAAAAGTTTGCCCTTCATTCGCTCGCCAATCAGCTTTCATAAATTTCTTCAATTTTTCTTCCGTTATAATTTTCCAAATCAATGGATTGTTCAAAACATATGTACACGTTGTAGATATTGTTGATCCCGTGCCTGCCGTCGCTTTCAAAATACAGAAACTGATTGCTTAATGGTGGAGGAAAGAGAAAACTAAATTGACCCCCCCAATGATAAGGGTAAAATAAATATGAATAAAGGCAATAGATTTGTAATGGACTGATCTGGTGGTGGAATATATAGGGGACCCATTATTTTAATTTTATTTTATTTGTTTGGCCAATACGGTTATTAAGCGAAGGGCAAACTGTAGTATATAAACTGAAAACTGCTTTAAGACTGCTCCATAAAGGTTTTGAATCCACACAAAATACCAACTTTCTCGTAAGGAATGGTCTCATGGCCTCACAATCAATTGCTCTTGCATTGCAGTAAACTTTTCAAAAAATTCAAAGTTGAGGCTGCATTCAATACATGGGGTACAACATTGGCAATATTACTGTACTGTAAGTGTTCCTTGCTACTTAATATTTGTATTGTATCCTTGTTGTTGTTCCTTGTGAAGAAAACTTTACAAACTTCACTAGTTACAGCATCCTACACAGTATTTTTGACAGTTCATCAACTGCACTCTTGTAGAGCATTCAGTCTAGAGTCCACATCATTTATACAAATTATTTCCAAATTGCTCAACACTAAACACAATTGTCCACAGATGTTTATTTGGTTGCTGATTCTTTCTTTCTTTCTTTTTTTTTTATTCAGTTTGGTTCCACACTTCTTGTTAATAGGGTCAGTTTATAAGACTATGGGCCAATGTGCTTTATTAATTTTTAGCTGGTTGCAATGATCGGGATTATCTTCTCATTGAAACAACATTTAACGTCCACCACCAGATCAAATTTTTTCCTATATAATCCTCACTATTAAATGTACTGTACGCTTTGTTTAAGTCAGTAATTATTAATTTTGTCGGTAAATTCTACCAGGTTCTGAAGGTACCAAAAACAAATATGTTAACATTATGGGATAGAAGTTCATCCATAATTAAACTAGATATATGCAAGTACAGGTAACTATTTAATAATGTCACTCGTAAATCATGTTATTCAGAAAAACAAACAAGCCTTGAAATTAAGTAACGTTGAAGGGATGACAAGTAACTATCTTCTTAGAATGGGGGACTGGATCTACTGTACAGCACATCTAATAAAATAGGTCCTAAATTTTGGAATTGTACTAAATATAGAAACTCATAAAAAATATATTGCAACACACTTTTCTAGGTTTCCCTCCTGTTAGATAATTATACAATTAGCGTTTTGGGCTCCCGGGGTCAATACAGTGGAATAATTCTGAGTTTGAGTGACGTATGCCAGGATGGAACAGCTACGAAGACAGATTTACCAAGAGTCTTCAAGATGCATGGAGACCGAATGCTATTTAATCACACTTGTGGGAATTTACTAACATATACGATTCACCACAAGAAAAAATTCAATACTGCTTTTAATACTAAAGAAACCAACCAGAATATTCAGAAGTCCACTAAAATTAATGATGTACTGTATCAAATATAAACCAATCTTCAACAACTGCAGAAAAAATGCATCAACTTGACGAAACAAAATTTACAATCAATTTGTTTTTAAAAACAATTTGACACACATAATTACAACGATAGGTGGACATGTTTGATGGTCATAGATTCTCAGAATAAATGAATTTTCCTACCATCACTTCTTAGGTAACTGATTGCTTTATAATTGAAATCATTATCATCACCTTAAAGTCGCATTTCTCACAGCAAAGCATCCTATTCTGTGTTGGCTAGCATATAAATCAACCTTCTATAATATTCCTATGTTAAAAAAGTGTAACAAAGTGCCTTTCCATAGTTTTTTCTAAAGATACTATCTGTCACTAAATCTGAAAACCTCAGAAAAAATCGATAGGTCATTTAAAATTGATCAAATAAATTCCAATGAAAGGGATTTACAGACCTCTACAAAAATAGTTTGACTACGTACCAGCCAATTTTAGAGTCTATAGGCATCCCATTGTATAATTCATACTGTACGTTCATGCAGAAAATTTCAATTTTTAATTGAAAGTTAATAATTCATCCTATTAAGAAATTTTAAAAATACAGTTAACAAACCATATCTAGACCTGGCTTTCACTTCCTAGGATTTGTATGAGAATCAATAAAAGCCACCCACATTTGTTTGGCAAAATGCATTAAATGTCTCGCGGACCCATAGTTTTTCCGACAGCTAAAGTACAATGCAAGCTCCTGTAGAATGTTCTAGATTGATCAAGACCAATGAAAAACGTACAGCACCTTGTGTAGGACGAGGCAACAACATTTTTGGCACCTTGATCTCGCCAAACACATTCATTCACAGTGTGCATTTTTATTTGGCCAATGGTGCAATAAAATATATTCAGCCTTCTGATTTTTTCAATCAAACCCTCCATCTAGTGGTATATTTTATAATCCTACCACACTGGAATCTCAGGAATTGGCCATATTCTAGAGACCAGGCGGCTGCATGCAAATTTGAATGCGTATGCTTTGAATGTGTTGTGATGACATTCAGAAATTCATGACGAACCATTCTTTTTCAACAACACTTTTAGGCCTTTTTTACTTAAAATTTTTACTCATTTAAGCAATCACCGATAAGACATAAGTGAAAGAAAAAAAAGAAAAAAAGAAACTTGAAAAAAAGTGATGCCATCTTCATGGATGGACCACTCTCACAAAATATTGTTGGAATAAATAAATAAAATAAAATAAATTTAATATTTTGAAATATTTGTTTATAATCTTCGGGAAATGTGTCCTTGTGTAAAAATTAAGCCTATTAGTAGAATTTTGCATACGCATTTCAGAAAATAAGGGCCAATTTCTGTGCAATTTTTTGCATAAAATTAGGTCTTGGCCCAATTAGTTTACTGACATATCTCTTAAGGGATAAGGGAACTTTGAGTGGATGATCGTATGCATTTACTGCGAACTATAACAAGGGCAAATTTATCCAAAACATAAAATTTATCACGTTTTAATGCCAAAATGCACTGTGTACAGGTAACCAAGGTTTTGAAAGGTTTTTGCTATTTTTAATAATTATCCCATGTTTGAATAGTCAAATTCGATCACCCTACTGTATGGCCATCAACAATCACTGTATTCACGGTTTTCAGCATGTTCAATCTAGGGTTTTGTAGCAAAAATAGGTATTTATGGTTGTAATTGTAACTGTAATTGAATTTCAACTGTGTTTTAATTGTATGTACCGTATTTGTAAAAATATATGTACTTTAAATCGATGATGATTAAATCATAAATAAGGGGGTGCTAGCTCACAAAATAAGTTATTTTTAAGCTTGATTTTTTGCTTCAAACATTTTAAATGGGTGGGGAAACTCTGGACGCCCCGCGACCACTGATCTCTACTATAATAGCTGGATTGCACATTGGCTGGTTTTAGTGAGGCCAAAGTGACGTATCATTTTAGGCAAGTTTCTTTTGGCATTTGTTTAAATTACTGTTGAAAAATAACGATTCTTGTAAAACTTTTTAATAATAAATTTGTATTTAACGTAATGATTATTATCATCTATCTACTTGATGTGACTTTTTATGCAGTTTAAGAAAGTGCAAGCAAAGTTATTTGCGTTGTTAGGGATAGACGTCATTATAACAACGCGACTTCTCTTGCACTTTTGAAAACTGCATAAACCGTCACATTTAGTTGCTAAAAAGTTTGAAAAAAATGTCTATGTTAAATTTAAATTTATTATTAAAAAGTATTGCAAGAATAGTTATTTTTAACTATAATTTAAACAAATGCCAAAAGAAACTTTTCTAAACTGGTACAGTACGTCACTTAGGCCCTCCAACATGGCGTTGGAGGCCTCACTTTTTTCTGTATTAGGATTGGCCGATGAGCAATCCAGCTATTATAGTAGAGATCAGTGCCCGCGACCCCCGGATACACTGCTGCCAAATATGTGTAAAGAATAAACAATCTACTGTATCATCAGCAGAAAAAGGCTAAAGTAAAACCCCGAATTGAAGCCCAATGGGCTTAATCTTGAAACCCCCTCTTTAGTTTGCAAAATTAACCTCTAAAAGAAGCCCATGGGCTTATTTTTAAGATAGCATAGGTTCTTTTTGAGATAGTACTGTACATGAATTTCAGATAAACAAACTAAATTGAAAACAAGCTTGGTTTATACAGTAGTTTTGGTGATTTAATGCCAGTTAAATACACTCCATGATACACATTGATACAGTGGCCTTATTTATTGTTTCATAGTACAAATTCACAAACTTTACAGCATGCATTTTGAAAAGAAGCACCCCCTCTTCACTTTGCAAAAGTAGCCTCGAAATGAAGTCCATCGCGAAAAGAAGTCCGTCTCGAAAAGAAGCCCATCCAAAGTTTACAAAAAAAGAAGCCCAGGGCTTCGAGTCCCAGGTAGACCTTCCTTACCATAAAATTTGGCCATGGTTATTGTTAATATTGTTCCAAAAGATTTGATCATGATCTGATGTACTGATTGGTGGTGGCAAGAGCTGGGAGATTTAGGCCTAGGCTAACCCTAATATCTTCCATTCATTCAGTCAATATCTAGGGCCACGCTAGTAGTAGGCCTAGTCCTACTACTACTACAGTAGGCCAACAATTGGAAGAATAATCATTTTTTCTAGCCTCTAGCTAGGAGAGTCTAGGCCTAGGCTAGGCCCAAGCTTCGAACACAAATGTCACCATCTACTAAGCTCTGTTACCTAGGCCTAGATACTATTGTAAAATAACTAAACATTGTCACTACAATACGTAATGCGTACATGTGTCTGTTGTCACGTAGGCCTGGGCACTAACCTAGCCTCTGGCCTGGTGCAAAGTGGTGGCCTCTGGCTTGGCTTAACTTAAGAAGTACAGTACAGACAGTAGGCCTAGGCCTAGGCCTACATGGTACGGTCAGTAGTAGGCTAGATAGACCTGCAGTAGACCTAGTATTAAAGCCATATTGTAAGTATATTCCTACCTTTTATATGAATTAGTGAATGTGGTATTACCACATTATGTTATAAACGATAAATTTACAAAATCACATCGATAAAAAGTAGTGATTTTTTATTATTTGAGAGGGACAAAATTTATATCATTCACAAAAATAGATTCGCTACCAGCAAGATGACGTCATACAATAATTGCCAGAAAGTTATAGATGAAGTAGCCCAATTTATTCTCACAACATTGTTTTCTGCAACGTATTAAAATTAATGAAAATTAATGAAGGAACAAATAAATGAACGAACAAATGAATGAATGAATGAATGAATTGATTGTTGAATGGATGGATGGAAGGATGGATTTATGAAATTAATTTAGTTATGAGAGATTGAATGTATGAAGGATTGAATAAAGACTAGTGAGTGATTGCGAGTGATATAACGAATTAATAAATGAATAAACGAAAGGATGAATGAATAAATGTATCAATCAATCAATCAAACAATTAACAGAACTCTTTGACATACTTGTCGTCCTTGAGCATGAAAGGAAAAGATAAATTTTATACAACCTTGAAAATTAAATCAACCGATCAATCAATCAATCAATCAATCAATCAAACAATCAATCAATCAATAGAGAAACACTTACTTGTCTTTATGTACATTCGGTTGCTCTACCACGAAGGCAATTAGATACAGTTTCGTTTAATATATAGGCCTCCTGCAATAATTGTAACTGAGAACTTTTATTGGGTGTAGAAACCAGTTACAAGCCTTATATAATATACTACTCTGAAATATATAAATACTGAGATGCAGAAAACATTTTTTTTGCTCAAGAAAAAAAATCCTTATGTTGATAAAGCTCATAAAATATTAGTATAAAGAAATTAAATATAAAATATTTAAGACATTTTGAGATATATATATATGAGACATCATTTATATTGCATACGCTACTAAATTAAGGTGATGTTAACCTATTGAAATAAAGAAGGTGTACTTATTATTCAGTGGCGTCACGCTGTGGTTGGGGTCCATGTGGTTTTCTGAGCCTGGGGCCCTTTTTTGGTCCCGCCGATCGCCATTTCCATTGTGGACTTTTAGATTTGCTCGTTTTTAATCATGTTGTGTTGTGTTACTTTTTTTAACGACGAAATACGGTAAATTTTGCCATATCAGTGGCGAACCCAGGAATTGAAATACAGGGAGGGGTCAAGGGAGCCACTTTCACTGATGCAGGGTCTACACCACCACCTCAGCCCAACCATGGTTTGGGACTGAGTAAGAAAGTGTATGATTATAGCACCTCTAGATGGCCGGAAATGACACTCACGTACAGACTTAAAATTTGAATATAATTTTCGTTTTATTTTTATTTTGATAATTTAGGAGGAACCCGGGATCGAACGGTTGCGTGTTGGGCTCCTTTTAATCGCCACTGAATATAATATGATATATGTCCTCAGTCGCTGTCAGAGACATACCGGTAATAGTTAGTTAGTTAGTAATTTGTTTCACACTCTCATATTAAACAGAGACTAGCCAATTCTCGCTTATGAGTGAAATACAGGACATTTTTAAAAACACATACAAAAAACACAATAAAAAATGTTTTTAAAACAAAATATACAAACATTTCTTAAAATATGATTTACTTAAACACAATTGACTGCCGTAAGGAGAGGATTTGGTATGCAAATTTAGCTACCTTATAACAACAGTGGTTACCATCACTCATTAAAAAATTGAATTTGTCATTAGAGGTTAAATCTGCAAGGAATAAGGAATAATATCCTGTTATATCAACGAAGCCCTTTTAGTTCACGGTGCTAGATCGAGGACGAGTGGGCCCTATCCGGGCCCTAGCTGAGTCGGGGGCCTGGTGGATCGCCGCATGAGAGCGCATCGTTACGCCACTGCTTCTATTGCCGGACCACTTTCTCAATTCTATTACTTTTTAAAGCAAATATACACTGATACCTATAAAATATATAAATTCATTATTAATGTACACACCACATTGGCTTTTCAATGTTACATATTTAAATTTAAACCACAATCCACCATGCACTTGTTTTTGTTATTGTTTTTGCATTGCATGGTATATGTACGGTACATTTCAACTTTTTTAACATTCCTAATTTTAGTAATTAAGATAGATTTTGAAAAATTTTAGAGATATAAATATAAAATAACAATTAACTATTAAATTTTTATAAAATCGGCCAAACTGTCATCACCACACAAAGACACGGGTCAAGTCGGCCCTGAATTACTGTACTTGCATTCAAAAAAACTCCCAAGAGGCGGATCCAGATTTTTTTTTTTAACGAGGAGTTACCAATTCATTATATGCCCAGATGTAATATAATTATACAGATAAATCGTATCCAATAATGGTATTATTCATGTTCAGTTATGCTGCTACGAAATGGTGTATAATAATTTGTATGCTATTTTGTATTTTTTTTTCTGTCAAAGAATAAAATTTTATCTAAGTATGCATGTGCTATTCAGGGGCGGCGCCAGGAATTCCCCGTGGGGGTTCTTTTCCCCCTGTACCCCCGCTAGCGCCCGCCCCCGATTCTATTTCCCGACAGGGAAGACATTTCCAACCACGGTGGATCTGAAAATGGGTAGGCTAAGTGTCTAGCCTAGTCCACTTCCACTAAATTTGAATCTTGTGCCAATGGACTGGATGGGAGGATAGATATTCAGTACAGGTTTGCTAACTGCTAGTTTCAGGCATCTAGAGGTGCCATATTTTCGAATTGCTTACCTCAACCCTAACTATGGCGGGGCTAAGGTAGTTATATATTCTATCTACATGCTCACTTTAAATCTTTTGGCCGCCGTAAAAGGGGAGGGGTAGAGGAATCTACAGGTTTCCAGCTGGTATTTCTGGGCATCCAGATGCAGCAATTAAAAGTTATTCAGGAAATGTGGGGCCAGGGGCTGAGATGGATGGGTGGGCAGTTTAACAGCCACATTTTTAATCCCCCACCCCCTTTATTATTAAAGTCCGGACCACTTGCAAAATGTTTCCGATGGCTATTACTGATGTTAAAAAAATGGTTGCCTTCTCGGGTGGGGGCCGATTAAACAGGACCTATGAACATTGGTGGCGTGTTAATTAGCAGCGCATCTTATTATTATAGGCCTAATTATCAAAAACCACTCAGTGTCGGTTGGTATATAGGCCCGTAATTTTAAAATCGTGGAAATGCAAGTTGGAGGTGGGGTTCAGGGGAAGAGAGATTGTAGCGTATAATTTTTGGCAGTTTTGACCTAAACTAAACCCCGTTGGCGTCATCACTTAACCCCTCCCCAACCCCGCTAGCAAATTTTTAACGTAGGATAGTTTGGTAAAATCTCATGAATTATTTATTCTTATAGAACATACTTTGCGAATACGCTATTTTCAAGTTTGTGTCGGCCTCAATGATCAGCTGCTAGCTCTGTGCATCGCGAGAAATAGTGTTCGATTAAAAAAAAATAGATTTTGGGCGAACTGAACAGATACCGGTACAAATGATTAAAAAGTGGCTCTTTTAATAATTTTAGATATTCGTCAAGATTAGATGGGTAAAGGCATCATTATCATCGTCATCATCATCATCGTCATCATCATCATCATCATCATCATCATCATCGTCATCATCATCATCATCGTCATCATTATTATTATTTTTATTATTATTATTATTATTATTATTATTATTATTATTATTATTATTATCGTGAACTTCACGAATACTTCACAGTAAACATAAAAGGTGATTTATTTCTGTTATGCCATTTGTTTATTCTGTTTTGTATGTATTTTCTTATGTTGGACATGAATAAAAATATAAATTTTTAAAAACTGATTTGTTTTTAGGCCATGATATTGCATGACGGATGATCATCTATGATGGATGAATCATTCACGTTAAACCTCGTCTATCGTAGAGCAGACAGTAGTGCCACCATGGCCAGTGGACCGCTTTGATGGGCACAATTTGCGAAATCCTAGCTTCGCTGCATCGAACGAGGTTTCTTAGAAGAGACATTACATAGTGGAATTTAATAAACTTTAATTGAACAACTATTCAGTATTGTATTTGCAAACTGACAGTAAATGTATCACTTCAATGTATCAAATTAATCACCTGTTTTATTTTTGCACTGATTCAAATACAAGGCCCATACAACGGCTGAATCGCGATACAGAGCAGCTGATCATTCAGGCTGACACAGGCTTGAAAATAGCGCATTTTAATTTGAAAAACTATTAAATAGTATTTTGTTTTTACAGACAGACAGTAAATGTAAATATTCAGAATCTACTATCAATCACTTGTTTTATTCTTGCATTGATTCAAATACCCCCGTAAAAAGACTGATGAGGATGATTATGTATAATTCATGACCTGTACCAAACTATCCTACGTTAAAAGCAATTTGCACACCGTTAGCCCCGCCACTGAACATCCGCCCTTCCCTACCCCACCAGTCCCACTGGCACCGCCACTGAAAAAATGAGACACAAACAGATAAAGATAAACGAAATCAGGATATTTTGGGGCATTGCAATAAAGTGAGTATCACAGGAATCGATAGAGAGTGATATTCGATAAAGAAGCTTTGTTAATGATGGATTTCAACTCTGTTCTCTCCGATAGGAAATGTTCCCAGTGGTGTAACGTCTATGCCTCTCATGCGGCGGTCCGCAGGGCCCCGACCCCTAGGGACACCGAAGCAGGGGCCCGACCCATAGGTTCTTCGATCTATAGCACCCTGACAAAAAATGGACTTTGTTGATACATAACACCATAAGTGTCTCTGAAAGCGTGGCATAGACGTGCCATAATCATACATTATCTAATCTCAGCCCCACCAGCGCAACAGCATAATGTGTCTCTGAAATCGACTGTAGGACATATATGATATTATATTCTGTGTCGGAATAAAGAGGTGGTGTGAAACCTATGAGGGCCATTTCCGGCCATCTAGAGGTACCGTATCATAAATTTTCTTACTTTAGCCCCAACCATGGTGGGGCTGAGGTGGTATACACTCTCCAACTGTGAAAGTCCCTCCCTTGCACCTTTATTTCAATACCTGGATCCGCGCCACTGATATTATATCATTTATTCGTCGTTAAAAACATTTAGAATAACAATGCAGACATGATTAATCAACGAACACATATAAAATCCCACGATGGAATTGGCGACAGGGACCCCCCAAAAAGTCCCAGTTTCAGAGCCAGGGCCCCCAGCCTCATCGTTACGCCACTGAATGTTTTAATTGGGCGAGGGTGACTTGCGAGGGTGACTTGCGCTAGAGACTTTTTTTTTCTTATATCTCAACGTACAAAAATATAATTAATATTAAGAAAACACACTGGGGATTTTTAATTACAAATGCCTTTGCAGTCTTATATGGGTTTATTTGATATTTTATTATATGACAAATCCAAAAAAAAAAATAATAATAATAATAAACACAGCAGTGAGTGTTTATAATTCTGAATGATATTCATATTTTTAGATTAACTTTAAAAGAATGGAACTATTCATTTACTTTTAATCATTCCTATAAGGCACCAATCGAAGCAATTAACTTTTCGCTGATTTTGTAAATAATAATAACTATTAGGCTTATGCGTACTGTATACTAATTGGCGAAAGAATATTTTCTTGTTTCTAATTTACTTATCATAAAAATATCCGTCACGGTATTAATCAGTAGGTATGATATAAAGAATCAATTGTGAATTTATTTCATTCTTTTTTTCTAAATCTTCTGTATTCAATGGAATCTGGATCATTGATGCGTCCGGTTATTCTGCCGCGTTAAAATTTTACGATTTGTTTTTATCACTCTTGCGTCGGGTCACTTTGTAATATATCGATCAACGCTTTCTCCGACGTGAGCAATATTCGATCACGGACCAATGGGCGTTTTTCTGCAATTTCTCAGGGGACTTCGATTTAGATATTAATGCCTTACTAATAGCTAATTATTAAGACACCATTGATCGAGATAGTGTGCAAAGGTAACTTTACATCGTCGAAAATCGAGAAGAACAATGACAAGCTGGTGTCACGTGATTCCAAGTAGTAGATATGCAAATATGAAGGCGGAGCTTTTTGATATACTTAAGATAGAAAATAATTTCTTGGTCTTCAAAATCTAACATACAATTGCATACTCGTCGGAAACAGTTTGTTGTACATTATTGTTAGAAATTTTGAAAGGAACAGCGTCAAACTTTGGTACACATAACCGCAGCGAATTATCATCAGATTTCGTATATGGCTACAAGGTGAGATAGGCCTTACTCGGGGTATTTGTTTCTGTATTTTTTTTAGGTTTTCGGTAAACATTAAAGTTCTGTAAACATTAGGTAACACATGTTGGAAACTCTGCAATTTATATATTATTAAATTTTGATATAATCTTACAAGTTTTGATATAATTATATTACTCTATATATGCCTATGTTAATTGTATCGACTGTTTACTTGGTAGGTTTTCTTTAATTTATATATATCTATATATATATATATATATATATATATATATATATATATCGTTAAAGAAAGGTAAATACCAGTGTTCGAATAAAGGACATGATAATACATCGTGTGAACGGTGTACACAGCTATCTTGATTTATATTTTACATATATATATATATATATATATATATACTATATAATATATATATATGAATATAGTAGGCATATTCACAAATGAATCTTACTTAGTGTACACCTGCAGTCCAGTCTTGTTCTATATAGACTAGCGTTGTCCGAGAGCTCTGGTTCTATTTCTGGCTGTCTACTTATCGTTTACTTTTTAGCTGTTGTTATTCAAATTTGTATCTCTGTCGAGAATTTTCAAATTTGATAGGCCCCTAATAATATAAAATAATAAATACATTTACACAGCTTGTAGATATAAATACTATGAGGCATATAATTATTAGGGCAGCCCAAATACGTTATGCCTTTAGTCCTTAGATGTACTACTTATAGGCCTATATATTAATTATTTCATTATTTACGAGAAATGGACGCTGTTAGTATGTTTACAGCTAACAATGTTCAGAGGTCAAAGGTGTAAGTTAACAATGTTCATGTCAAAGGTGTAAGTTAACAATGTTCATAGGTCAAAGGTGTAAGTTAACATGTTGCCTCCTGGTGTATTTTGCCAGTTTTTGGAAATATCTAAAGATGATCAACTTTATTGATTTTTATAGTGTCAGTATTCTCAATCTGATTCTTATCTTACCCTTTCCTCTTCAAATCAGGCAATATTTCTTATAAAGGGAGTAAGTGTGATTACTATAATAACTTTTGACCCTAATATTATATGGTATCTGACTGAGTTAACAGACAGAAGTAAAATGGATCTTATAAGGGAGTAAGTGTGATTACTATAACAAATTTTGACCCTAATATAATATGGTACCAAACAGACAGACGTACAATGGCGGTGTGTTTAGCTATAAGCCAGATTGTAAGCTTCCAATTTTTGAATATGAATACAAAATATAATATGTAATGACTGGATTAATAATGAAAGTCATATTATTTCCGTAAAAAAATATAAATATATAAAAACAAATTTACACTACGCAAAGACTGTCAGTTAAAATATAGTCGTTACAATTGCACCAAGATTAGAACGTTCTGTGCAACAAAACCCTAAAGATAATATAATCGACAATGTTGAACAATTGACTCGAACCTACGACTTCTTAGTTGAAAGCCTTAATCGTCTGCACTGACTGCTCACATCATGACATTTAGGGCAAAAAGAGGTTGAGCAGTGGCTGTCGGGTATAATCAAATGTTAAAAACGTCACCGAGAGGTGTGGTTATCTAATCCTCTTTCAACAGACTTAAAATCTAAAAATTACACGAAAATAAATAATAATACATTTGACCAAATAATTGCACATAAGTATCAATAAAATAAAAAAATAGTCTTAAATATTGAAAAAAAAAACATTGATTAAGCCTAAACAGATTTCATATACAATCAATAGTTTAAAAAAGTTAAAAATTGTATTAAATTAATGAGAATTAATTGAATTCAATCGCTTATACAGTAGAAGTGGAATTGTGGTTTGGGGCTTAAAGTGCTCGGTTTACAATCCCAGGGTCTTAGGTTCAATCTTTAACCGTTCCACAAAGCCCTGCTCCTTGGATATTGTTGCTATGGTCCCAAAAAGCGACGCCGTAAACGTTTGCAAACCGTGAGCGTGTTTGCGGTCTTTGTTCTGATTGGTCACATGTCAAGTTTGATTGACACTCTGTAGTGAGAAAGGTCAATTTTTAGAAAATGTCCTGATTTTTCTAGATTGCTGGATGACCAGCGTTAATAAATATAAAATGTATTTTTAATATCAATTTATATATCAATTAAATTAAGTATTTTTTTTTTTTATAGAAAATGAAACAATTGAACTATGCAAACATTATAACAGCAAATTCATTTATCCACATGTTTATATCATGCTAAATAAACGCCTAGAAATATTTATATATATATATATATATATTTATATATATACAATGTAGAATACAAAATAGGCCTATACAACGTAGACATAGGCCTACCACATAAATCACCTTACGCAATCAGGAAACTATATAAAAACACTTTAAAATTGGGGTTTTTTTATTGAATGCGGAAACATATATCTTTTTTTAAATTGGTTTTTAGATCCTTCTCTGTCGATCAATTATATTTAACTCGATTGCCGTTCCATCATCCTAAAAATGACCAATTTGCACATTATAATTTGAATATAAATGACACACATTTCATAATTTTAATTAGGTATTTAACTATATTCATAGATTTAGTCACAAGTGATGAAGAATGCCTCTTAATATTGCCCTTGATAATTTCGCTGTCTTTAAGGATGATACTGTTTTTGGCGCGAAATCTCCAGAGTCTGGCGACAACCGCCATATTTTCTGTGACGGAGTGCTCGACGATCTCGATATAAATATAATTTACGAGCAAACAACTAGATTGGATATAGCATAGGGTATTGACACTCCCAAACGTATTAACTGGTCTCTGAGTTTTTCATTTATTAGTAGATTGTGTTAATAAATCATATTGTAGTTGAAAGTTTAGGATTCAAAATACTTTCTCTTGTCTGCATATTATTGTTATTTGATATTCATGAACTTTTTAGATGATAAACATCAGTTATTGGTTTGTTGAAAACAATTAGATGTGTCTAAATGTATTATGGCATAGATCATACATGAACAAATCTGGCAAGATCTGGTTTTTAGTTTAATTGCGACATTTAGGCTATTATATCGCTATTTCATGAAGATCAGAGCGTTTTCAGTGTAATACGGTACCGGTACTGTTGAAAAAACAAAAGCGACCGCTCACCGGTCCGCGCGTTCCTCCACGCTTAAATATGGTACAGGCGCAAGTTATTATATTGGGTGTTTTTTTTTTTGTGGAAGAGCTTATAAAGATAGAAATTTTTAAATAATTAGAATGTTTATTTGTACAAAACAAATTGTTTTTTAGAATGTTCGTTTGTACAAAATTTAATTATCTTAAAATTGAAAAAAAAAAATTCTTAAAATTGGGGGAAAAATGAACATGACGCGATTCGAACTCAAAACCTTAAGTTCTTTAGAACACATCCTTAACTGAGCCATCCATGCGATGTGCCCTATTAATGGTAATGGCAGTAATGTACAGTCCTTGCTGAAACCTCTGTTTTGTTTTGTAGGTAGGCCTATAGGGGGAACCCTGGGGTCCAACTTAAAAAAGGCGATGAACGTTTCACCTCTAGTTTATGTGTACAACATTTACAATGAATTGACACAAATGGATATCTTGTATTTATCTGAATATTAGCTGCTAATCACGACGTAAAGTTGGGTAGTGAATGAAACTGCTTGACTGTGACATATAAAATAATAGTCAAAAATTAAAATACAATAAAGTGTTCGAAATATCATATTGACTTGTTAATAGGCATACAATGTTAAACATCACAACTCAATAAACTTCACAGGCTTGAACGATTTTCATTCCAAATTTAGTCTGCATAATTTCATTTCATATATGAAATTGTTCTGTATAATTTAATTTGAGGTCTGAATTTACTCGTGAGCAGTGTAGGCCCTGCGTAGGAGTTTTGCGTCAATGGTGTAATGACGTATGATTTGTGTAGGTCCTAGGTATGGACACATTGACTGATTTATACTCCTCAATCATTTTTCTCGTCAGTTGTCACATCGGTGTGAATTGGATTTATTAGGTGTGAACTGCAATGATAACCCTACAAGTCAGAAGACTTTTTTCCAGTTTGGTTCTTCTGGTGGTAATTGGACAGTAGGGACGGTCCTCTAATATTTTCCGAAGAGCATACTATTCTACGGGCACACATGAGCAATAGCACACGGGACCGACGTCACCAGACAAGACATCATATTGTATAAACATTAACCTATGTTATATTGGGAAATGACAGCGACAATTTTCAGATTAAAAGCAATAGGGCCGGCCGGCCGGCCGTATAGCCTCATAAATAAGAAAATTAAATCTTTTCACTTTTAAGCATCTATCATTCTTATTAAATTATGATTTGCTCTACTTAAAATGAGCCTCAATATAAAATGCATCTTAAGTTTTAAATGCGCATTAGCATTGTGTTTCCGTCCGCGTCGGACAGCAAATGCATCCACTTACAGGTGATTTAGCTCATGTTAAGGAGTTAAACTTTAGTGTACTCATAAGACATCTCTGTAAAGTGGTTATGTAATAATGTTCTTAATAAACACCTTAACAATACTAATTACAGTATACAGATAGTTAAGCGTCTACTCTACGGTTATTACCCGAAGATTTTTTTTTTTTCTTAGAGATCCTCTCATAAGCTACCGGTTTCTCTATAGGCAAGAACAATTTATGATGAATCAATAAAGAAAAAAAAAAGGTATATCCAAGTTGAGCATGAATGATGGGACCCTCGCCCCATATACACAATATGAACGTGCACGAAAAAGAAGTCAGTAGGTCTGTAATAATAGGATAGTGATTTAAAAAAAAAAATTTAGATTGCTGATTTTGTATATAATTACCTGTCCTTTTCCCATCAATTTTATGTTATTTACTTTTTATCTCCATTCACTAGTTCTATGTTTTTAGCATTATTCATTTAATATTACTGTTTTATAATGAAGGTATTCATGATTAATAATAATAATAATAATAATAATAATAATAATAATAATAATAACAATAAATATTTTTGCTTATATAGCACATGATGCTAAAGCCTCAATGCGCTTAACAATAAAAATGAAAATGCCAGGAGACAAAATTTAGGAAAAGTACATGTTAAAAAGGGGAGTTTTTAAAGCTGCCTTAAAATCTACATTGGAAGTTGGCTGTCGGATTAAAGAAATAATTAAACAAAAACTATGGTAACAAGACGAATAAACATACAGAATACGGTAATTAGATGGTTACTGAATCGGCATGTAGAGAAGCTCAGTTCATATTGGACTTAACTTGAGTTACACTATAATACTATAGTACAGTTAATTTGGTGTGTTATATCCAGTTATTTAGGATCTGGTTTCTGGTGGGTTAAAGCAGACTTCTTTTAAGGACTCTAAATATAAGAGTAGCCTATAACAGGAGGGGTAGGGTTTTATTTTCTCCATGGTCTCACCACCGCAAATTAAGACACGTTTTAGTCACGTAGGCCATCTCACCGTTAACTGGACATCGTTGAATGAGAATGCTTACTCTAAAGTGCTATCCACTCTAGGATAATTATAATAACTAGCAAGAGGGCAGCATGCACAGATTTTTTTTTTTTTTATGCGTGAAAACTTATTTTACGTTAGAAATAACGTTACAGTTTTGTGCATAACACATCTTACTGTACAATTATATGTTTCTAAAATTAATTTCAAAACTAAATAACATTGCAAAGTTTTAATAACCTTGTTTTCTGACATACATTATTATCACAATGTTACGAACGTCATATAACGTTTGTGTTTGCTGAGTAGCTTGTAGAACCAAATAAAATCTTTATCTATTAAGACTAAGCTAACCCTCATGTGGAGACCGTACCATGAGACCACCCTACATTTTCAGGTTCCAATAGTGGTCTTGGATTGGAGGGCGAACTGTATACAATTTGTGAGCAATTTTGTAATAGTATCTTTTCTTTCTGACAAAATCAGATTTTTTATCCATTTTGGCGGCTATACTTTAATATTTTCTTCTTCAAGTTTCAAAACCGTTTTTATTCGAATAATCGGCCCGGGGCGTTTATTGTTGAGAAGGGGTGATTATTCGAGATGGCGTTTATTGACTTTTCTTTTTTGGTGTAAAATGGATATGTACATACTCAAATAAACGCCCCTTAATTTCTACAACTACGATAATTACTGTGATATTACGTGATCCTAAAGACTTATTAATCCCAGCCAGGTTAAGAAAAATGTAATTCTGCTGGAGTAGAATATTAACAGAATGTGTTGTGAATGATGTTGCTTCCATTGGTTTTGTTTACAGTCATTTAGTTGGCGTTTATTCCAGAAAAAATAAAAGCCTCAGGGCGTTTATTCGAGGGAGGCGTTTATTCCAAATGAGGCTCTGGAGTTTAATTAAAGCTTGGCTTATTCGAATAACTAATTACGGTACATATGCAAAACGTGCTTTAGAATATACCAAGCCCTCTCAACATCACGTTTTGTGGCAGCTCAGTATATACTTGTTTTATCTATACAATTAATTTCTTTTTTCTCTTTTCTTACTTTAGTAATATGGACACATTCAGCTTAAGTAGATCGTACTATATTTTAATAGTGGTATTCATTGCAGTATGTATCTCCACAGTATCCCCAGCCGGGGTAGCACATCGTATAGTGGATAAGAGAGGCCCGAGAGGTAAATAATTGATTTGGTTTACCTTGTAATAATCATAACGATGATTATGGTGATGATGACGATAATGATGGTGATAAGAATGATTAAATATTATTAACAGTAATGATGATGATGATGATGATGATGATGATGATGATGATGATGACGATGATATTTTAGGAACTGTTTTGATGATAATAATGTTTGAGTCAGATCAGGGACTTTTATAACCAACTGCACGCAATGCTGAGAAGGGTTTGCCAGTTACCGTACAATTTTACCCTAACAATTAGCGGGTACCGCTTTAAAACCGACTTTAAAGAGTGTAAAACATAAAGTGCCATGTCCAGTGATACAAACGCAATGTACAGCGTGAGTTTAAGATTCAAGATTCAAATATTTAATGCTACTTGAGCCATCGAGGGCAATTATCGCAATTACAAATTCAACAATTGAAATAACAATTAAAAACGCCATTTTCTTAAGCAAGAAAATAAAGTAAACTTAAAAAATAAGAGCTTCCTTAATGTCTGAAGAGGTGATTAGCGGGATCAAGGGCCAGGTCGTAGCCAGACTAAAGGCCAATGGCAAAAAAGATGGAAAAGACCGGAGTTACGAGCAGGTAAAGGAAGAAAAGATGAATGAGGAGAATGACGCAAAGAAGTAAAACAAGAGTGACGTTGGGGGAGACAATTGTGTAATGGGTGGTCTGGGTTCTGGACAATTTTTGAAAGAAGACGGTTGATGAAGAATTTCTGCCTAGATTTATACAGAATTATATTGAATCTAGAGAAGATGAAAATATAGTTATTGGAAGAAGCAGGTGCAAATAGGGTTTCAATAATAAATAAAGAAATAAATAATAAAGATCACATTTAGGTAAGAGGTCAAAGACAGGACAAGCATATTCTGGGTTGGATATGTGGTAAATAAAGGAGGAGAGACAGACTAAGGGAGTGTTTAAATTTAAATAGGGGGCCCATTGAAAGTTTTCTAAGGGTCAATTTATGTACAATTGCGTGTGTGTGCCATTTTAAATAATTTGTGATTGTGATACCCAAGTATTTTTAATTTCGGAGACGGATTCAACAAGCCGTAGAGAAAAATAGGGAGGAAGAGGATTGGACTTACAGAAGTTGATGTTCATGAGTTTACATTTGAAAGGGAAATGGATGTAAGTACGCTGTCTCTTATACACATCTAGATGTGTATAAGAGACAGGAAGTAAAACAAGAGTGACGTTGGGGGAGACAATTGTGTAATGGGTGGTCTGGGTTCTGGACAATTTTTGAAAGAAGACGGTTGATGAAGAATTTCTGCCTAGATTTATACAGAATTATATTGAATCTAGAGAAGATGAAAATATAGTTATTGGAAGAAGCAGGTGCAAATAGGGTTTCATTTTAAATAATTTGTGATTGTGATACCCAAGTATTTTTAATTTCGGAGACGGATTCAACAAGGGAGCCGTCGAGAAAAATAGGGAGGAAGAGGATTGGACTTACAGAAGTTGATGTTCATGAGTTTACATTTGAAAGGGAAAAAATTAAGCCGTTATTTAGAGACCAATATTGTAAAAGATTGGCAGCAATTAGGCATGTAGTCGAAGCGAGGGGCTTGGCAAAAAAATTGTTTTTTTTTAATTAAACCAACCTTTTCAGGACCCGTAAGCTAAAATTATTGTTGTTATGGAAAAATTAGAAGTCGGGAAAGCTCATTTCCCACTATCTAGGAATCAAAATTTTCTGGGGAGGCCCCCGGACACCCCCATTCTTTTTGGGTTTTTTAAAAACATATTTACCCCTCCCCCTAAATTTGAATCCAGGTCTGCCCCAGTTTGATATTAGGTCGTCAGCAAACATGGATACGGTACAATTAAGGGATGTATTAATTAAAAATTAATGTATTAATAAAACATAAAAATAATGTAGGACCAAGTTTGCTATCCTGGTTAACCCATGGTAGTTTTCCAAATAATGAGCCATAGAAGGAAGCTGGATTAGAAAAGTTAGATTTGGAGTTGAATATTTGTTGGTTAACATTCAAATCCTTTGGCCCTGGGTTTTCAATTATTGTGACAGAAGTAGTGGTGGTGCCAGAAATTTGTCCGGGCCCGGGTCCGAACCAAAGGGCTGACGAAGCCTCTGTCGACGGCCTGGAATAAAAAAAAATCCATGGTAGGCTTTATGGGGAGAATTATGATGGTTTATTGTGGTCTAAAATGTGCTTTTAGACCACAATATTAGGGATTGGCAATCAAAAGAATGTTATTTGGAGCTAAAATTTTTTTAAATGTTGATCGTCGGACGACAGGGGAGTCCAGGTCTGTCCGACGGGAGGGGGTTGACAAATACTCCCGCTGGCGACACCACCTGACAGAAAGATATCTTCATGATTAAAAATACCACAACCTAATTCTCATTGTTAGACTTAGTTTTAAAATATAATGAGTTCGTGACAGAAAAGTATATTTCTACTAACATTTACTCAGTACAAATATTTAAAAAGTCAAGCCACAACCACTGTTCCCTACACATAGTTTTTTCAACCTTTTTTTTTGTGTGTGTGTCCTCTAAAACTATTTATTGTGGGTGTTAGTCTATTAAATCATAAGTATTCTGAAATTAATCAATTCTAAAAATAGAGTTCTTTTCATTTAAAACAAGTCAGCTTCATGATTAATTGTTCAAAACATTTCTTCTAAAGAATGAAGTCAGCTATAGCAATAAATTACATAGTCGATAAAGTTATTTGTAAATTGAGGTTTTCTCCGTTGGGAAAAATAGTACGCATTTATTTGATATTTTAAATATTCCAGCATTTCATATCTTGACGTTAGAAATTGTATTAATTTGTTTACCCGGGTCTCCGAAGACGTCTGGAAAAAATATGAACGACCGCCTAATGTTATACCATTCACGTAAATAAAAATAAAGTTTTTTGAATTGTTTTCCAGTTCAGGTTTGTCAGTGTGGTTCTCTGAGTTTGCAAAAGTGTATGAAAGTTTTTCTTCCCGCTTGTTGTGTACAACATTCGTCGCTTGGTGGCAGTATAGCCTGTGCACCGATGGGTAAGAGATCAATGGATGTAAGTACGTGATATGCGTAAGAGAAAAAAAAAACACGAATCTATATAATCAAGGACTTTATAAAAGTCCTTGATATAAATGAGTATTTTTTCTTTAGGCGCACAAACATACGCCAAGCCCTGTCGCAAGACAGACATAGGCCTACACACACGATGCTTTTACACAAACTAAATCTCAATGTGAGGCTTACGGAGTGAGAAAAAGTCCTGCAACACTGATATGAATTGAACCCAGGATCTTGGGATTGGAAGGAAAGCATCTTAACCACCAAGCTATTCAACTCCACTCTTTAGGCATATTTAAAGAAATACATTTTCTAATATTAACAAAATAGAACAATAATCTATATAGGCCTACCTTTATAATACATTAGGCGAGTGGAGTTGAAGTTTAGTCGTGGAAAAACCCAGGACCCTGATACTAAAATGCAAGCATCACAACCACCAAGCTACAGCTCCACTTTACATGTACTTGATAATTTTAATTATTTTGCGTTTCATACTCAACAGCCAGTAACTTGCTGTCAAAAGCATGATAAAAATAGACATAAAAAATGAACATGTAGTTTTTGATATTGTGTAAGACTACGTAATCTATGTTTATTTCTTCTACACCAATTAATAATTCTATCTTTTTAGGATGAATTATTTTCGGATCAGGGCAGTGAGGATGAAGAAATGGACATATATAACGAATTTAACTTCATTAAAAGCCTACTTGCATCAAGGAACCTTTTAAATGCAGAAAAAGGTGAGTTTTTACGTTACTAAATTAATGCGATTCAGAACATTACGGCCTACAGTTGCATCTATAGATATAAAAATGATCTGCATCCGGAGTGGCGTAACGACGAGTCATGGACCTCCTGAGAGCTCACAGTCACGGGCGTTACGCCACTATCTGCATCACAACCAATTACAGACGGATAGTGAAGAACATTTACATTTTAACATTTACAGAGGATAAATTACCTCTAAAACACGTGGCTTTGTATTAATGGTATCCGATATGGCGTCATCATTTTCATCATCATAACTATCATCTTGTCATAGCTCCAATTTAAAAATTTGTTTTCTGACACTTTTGATGATAAAGCAAGAAACCAAGTAAGAGCACCAAGTAATTATAATATTATATAGGCCCCTATTTTAATATTTGTCATCGTCATGTCAGTTAGGAATATAGCCTACAAATATCAATATCAAAATACGAAATGAGGTTTGCCCATCGGAATATTGTAATACTTATCGACATTGTAAATGACGATGTTGTTGCCAAACACGTTAGGAAATGATACTAATTGTTCTATTTTCATTTCCAGTCCCTCTTCTATTACAAAACGAAAGCAACGAAGACAGGTTTTGAAGGGAAGGAGAACGTCCAGCGCAGATTTAGACAGAGGTCAAGCAAGCCTATCCCCCTCCCCCAAATTGGAATGACAACACGTTAAACAATTCTTGTAAAATGCTGTATATTATAGATATCTTCAATAAAACAAAAATATGCAGACCAATATTTTATTGCAAAAACGAATTTTGCTTTTATCCAAACATTTTTTGTTTAATAGTTATAGGAATCGGTTTATTTCATGGAAATCAAGTTTATAAAACATATGGATCAGATAGTATAATGGAATAATTGATCATTTGGCAAAGTCTTCCGTGAAAAATTATTTTCTTTTTTCTTACATAATTTATGATAAATGATTACATTCGCTAAAAAAACTTATTCCAGCGATTAAATTAGATAACAACGCCAATTTAATGTGTGACTAATAATGATTCTGAAGTTTAAGACGTTTCGATTTAAATTTGAATGGAGATGTGTAATTCCTGAATTTTCTATGCGATTCTCAGCATAAACATCCATGTTAAAATTAAACCAGTTGGTCAGATGCGGTGTTTGTTCTTTAGTCATTGAGGTCTATAAACAGGGAAGCAGATGGTCTGAGGATACATAATTTTAAGCACATATTTGTTCATTACGCAAAATAAGCCATGTTTTGCTTGGTGGTATCGGCATACTTTGTCTATACTAAAATAGACAAGCAATATCGAGGTTACTGGACGTGTCAGTGTTAGTTATTAATCAAAGCAATAAAGCATTATGTGCACCATAAACAACGTCACCTGTAATGTATACCCAGTGTCGTAACGTCTATGCGCTCATGTGCGTCGGTCCGAAGGGGCCCCTACCCATAGGGTCCTCGACTTAGCACCCTGACCCAAAAGATCCCTGCTCATACATAACAGCATAATGTGTCTCGGACATCGACTGTAGGACATATATCATGTTATATCCAGTGATGTATTATAGGGGGGGGGGGGGGGGGGTGGTCCTAAAATTGTCAAAATTAAAAAAACAAAAGAAGGAGAAAATTATATTCAAATTGTAAGTCTATAAGTGCCATTTTCCTGCCATATAAAGGTGCCATAATCATATCTTTTCTTGCCCCACCAGGGTTGGGGCTGAGGTGTTAGGACCCTCCATCTGTGAAAGTCTATCCATGGGCCTCCTATTTAAAATTCCTGGATCTACCACTGATATCATATCACTTATTTTGTCATTTTAAAAACATTTAAAACACAATGAAAAACATGATTAAAAAACGAGCACATTTAAAATCCTACGATAGAATTGGCAACCGGTACCCAGAAAGGGCCCCAAGTCTCAGAAGGGGGGGGGGGGAATCATTTCTTTAATAAATGAAACATACGCCTATCATAATTTGGCCTATATACTGTAATACTGATATGAAATGGCTGCTAATGTATTTTATTATGCTGAAACAATTATTTTCAATACATCGTAACTTGGCCTTCCAGACAGAAAATTTGAGACTTGCTCTTCTAAATATCTTATTTCTTAAAAATGGCATGGTCTTTTTTAAAATTAGGAGCAACACCTTCATCGCAGAAAACTGGTTTATATTTAACAGGAAAAGGAAACCTGTTGTACTAATTAGAATACGAAAGAAACAGAACATGAAATATAAAATTCCAAAAAAATAGGACTCAAATGCCAACCAACGTGTTTTAGAGGCAGAGAGATTAGAAACACCGAGTCTGTACCGAGCAAAGAACTATAGTAAACTCGGTCACGACCGGTCGATTGATTAATTAGTTGTTAAATTTAGACAATTATGTTATAATAAGTTGATGTTTTGGGGGAGAGAAGGTAATAAACCATGTGATAGTTAAGTATTTGCTTAATTAACGATGACACGTTTTAGCTTAAGATAAGAAAGTGCATTAGCGTCCGTTTTGATTGTAACTTCGTTATAATATTTATTTTTTTTGTTGTCTTTTTTTTTTTTTAACTGTTAATAGTGTTATCCAAATGTAAATAGTTGATCGAAAGCCGAAATAAATTGAGATGAAGAAAGCAGAAATAAAAGGAGGAAAAATCCACAAGCAGTTTCACATTTTTTATTATTCTATAAACTCTGCACACAACTGTATCTTTGGCAAAACATCGCCAATTGCACAATATACATTTTGGCTTCAATTTCTAGTACTTAATAAATAAACTAAACAATTTTAGTATCAACATAAAAAAAACATTTAAAAGATTTTTTTTGTATGTTTCAGTGATATTCGAACACTTTTATATGCCTACGTATAGGCCTTTTAGCGTTTTATATCCAACAAAAACCTTTGAGTAATAAGTAATCTCGTTCGATTAATTCAATTGATAATTTATAGAATTTCATAATTCAGTAGGTCATGTGTTGTGTGTTCATTTTGTATTAGCACATACATCGTTATTGCTATTTTTCATACGAAATTCAAGTTTCTTTTTTAAAGAAACTTTCCTAAAAATAAAATTTAGAGCACACTTTCGGAGTACTAGTCTCAGACAGATTTCGGCCCCAGAATTCACATTCACCCAGTGGCGTAACGACTATAGGCTTTCGGGGGTAGGAGGGGGCCCGAAACCCCATGGCCCCCAGTCCAAAGGGGCTCCGGATCGTGTGAAAATAATAGTCACACAATAGGACTAGGCCTATGATTACTATATTCATTAACGATACTAACATTGCCTTTAATTTAGTCTTTTCAGCCTTCATATTCCTGTTTTAGGTTAGCGAATCATGTACTGAAATGGGCACCAACACGTTTTCGCCCACGAGCCCCATGACTCGTCGTTACTCCACTGAATTCACCCTACAAAAGGTCATGGGGCTAAATCTCTGTGAAACCAACTTTTGGCATATAAGTGAGAGTTCCATGTCGTCACTATAATAATTTATACTGAACCCGCGTGTAGGCCCGTTAGATAATAAATTAAAATACACTTTGCACAATTATACAGATCCTTATCTGCCAACAATATATGTTTTAGTTTTCACACATCT